GCATAAGGCGATGACTGGGCCACCCTCCGCATGACCGTCCGGCCGGGCCTTAGGTGTTTTGACTCAGACCTGCCACAAGCCGTGTGCACCACGGCCATCCTCCCCTCGGCCCTGTCCCCAGGAGGTTCTCAGGGTGGCAGCTGCCACCCTAAACACAGGGCCCCCAGACCCCCACCCCCGAGCCACCGCCCTCTGTCCCCGGCACCCACCTCAGAGCCCTGGGAGCCACAGGCCTGTCTGATCGGAGCTCCGCCCCAGGCTCCGGGCCCCACCTGCCCAACCCCCTCCCTCGGAGACCTTCGCCCCTCCCCGAGCCGGCCCAGCCCTCGGGGACGCCCCAGGAAGCAGGGATCTGGGCTGGCGGTGCCCAGGGCCTCCCTGCTCCAGCCGTGAACTGTGGACCTTCCGCCAACACCGGAGAGGGGGCTCTGTGAGCACCCAGGCCCCAGGTCTGACGTGCAAGCTGGGAGGCAGGGACAGGGAAAAAGAACTGTGCAGAGAGACACCAAGACCAGGGACAGGGGACACGAGAGAGAGAGAGCACTGATTCCTGCTCCCACCCTCGACGTGGATCCGTGGAGGGAACCACGCTGATTGGTTTCCACTCCTTAGGGAACAGAGGTGTTTCGGGCATTCAAGCAGCCCTGGCTGTTGGTGCCTCGTCCCTGGGGCTTTTGCGGTGGTGGGAGTGGGGGCGAGGCAAGGGCCAGGATGCACTGGGGACCAGCTGGGCACTCAGCGGATTGCAGAAAAGAGCTGGGAAAGCTGATGATGTTCGTGAGCTGGGGGGTGGGACGAGGAGTTTGGGGTGCCCGCTGCCGGCAGGAGGGAGCCTGGAAGGTTTGCAAGCAGGAGAAGCTATGATGAGAGATCCTTAGAACGCGTTCCCAGGATCAGGCTCCGCCTGGTGATAGGGAGAGAGGGAGGCAGATGTGCCAGACGGTTTGGGCCAAAAACATACACAGGAACTTTCAAAAAGTCACGGAAAATGGAATTAAACGATGTTTATTTTGGTGCAAAGATTTTTTGAAATCCATGTGTAGTGTTTTCGCCACACGCATTTCCTGTGAACTTAAAAAAAAAATCTGTTTGAAAGATTTGCTTATGTATTTGAAAGAGTTCCGCTGCGGGGGAGAGAGGGCGATGTGCTGGTTCACTCTCCAGATGGCCGCAATGACCAAGCCAAAGCCAGGAGCCAGGAGCTTCATCAGGGCTCCTCTGTGAGTGACAGGGGCCCACGCACTGAGACCATCTTCTGCTGCTTTCCCAGGTGCGTTAGCAGGGAGCTGGAGGGGAATCGGAGTAGCCGGGACTCGAACCGGCATTCACATGGGACGCTGGTGTCACAGGCAGTGCCGGCTTAACCTGCTGTGCCGCCACACTGGGCCCTTCCAAGAACACCTAGGAGGCCTTGTGAAAAACATGTAAAAATTTTTGCACCCAAATGAATTTCTCTTTTAAATGATTTTTATTCTATTTATTTGAGAGTCAGAGAGAAAACTCCTCCACGTGGGTGGCAGGGACCCAAGTACTTGAGCCATCGCCACCGCCTCCCAGGATGACCATTTGCAGGGATCAGAAACAGAGCCGGGACTCGAACCCAGGCTCTTCGATATGGGATGTGGGTGTCCCAGATGATTCCCGAACGCGTTCCGCCAGAAACACCCATCCCTGAACCTGGCTTTTCGGTTCCTGTCTCCAGGGGCTTTTCAAAGTGCCCTCGCAGCCCTGAGTGGATTGCGGGGGGAGAGGCGAGCGTTCGGGAGAAGCAGGGGAGAGGCTGGGCTCTGGAACTTTCGTTGGACAAACAGGAAGCAGAAGGCAGGGAGTGGGGGCCGGGTTGGGGTGGCTTTGAGGCACACACAGGTCGCCCCAGAGGTAGGTGCTCCTGGAACTGGGTTTGCGGTTTGGGCTTGGGACGGGATCCGGCTGCTTGGGGTGCTGCTTGGGGTCATACCTGTGACTTCGCAGGTGCATTACAGGGGTGAGGGGTCCTTAGAGCTGAGTCTGGAGCCCCCCCATCTCCTAGGTAAGGGGAAGGTGGGGAGCGCAACCGGGGGTGTGGGGCCTCCCAGCTCTTCCTCCCCAGGAAAACCCTTCCCTCTCCACGGGGAGACACTCGCCTCTGTCTGTCTTCCCTTAAGGGCTGGGTCCCAATAGCCCTGCTCCTCACCCAGCTCCTACGGTGTTCCAGGCCCCATACCAGATGCAGACAAGAACACAGCAGACGGCGTGCCCAGCCCAGTGGCTCAAGCCGAGGGGAGCACAAACAGTACACAGCGTGCGTGGGCGGCAGCGGGGGGGGGGGCGTGGGATCCCCAGACGGGCCAGTTTGGAGACACCGTGTAGCTGGGTTGTTGAACCCAGACCGGGAGCAGGTGGGGGAAGAGCTGCTGCGGATGTCCCCCTTGGGCTGAGATCTTGACAACACTGGAACAGCATTCCAGACAGAGGGAACAGCATAGGTGGAGACCTCACGGTAGGTGGGAGCCCTGAGCACTTGGAGGGGAGGGGCTCCCTGAGCAGGGAGGGGCGCGGTGGGGGCAGTGGCGGGTCCTCACTAGGTCTTTAGCAAGCAGCAGCTGCCTGGGAGGACAGGGACCCGAAATGCCAGCCCCAGCCCTGCGGTGATTCGCGCTGTGAGCTCAGCCAAAGCTGCGTTCTCTGGTCTACCAGGCTGCCCTCACTCACTCTGCTCAGAGCCCTGGCCCGGAGCTCTTCCTCCCGCCCTCCCTCTTGCACGTCAGTCAGACCACAGCCCGAACGTCACCTCTCCAGACACCCCGGACCACCCACACCGCCCGACTCTGTCCGTCTCTATTGCATCAACCCACTGCATTCTGGCTGAGCTCACGCCGCAGTCTCAGATGCTGCTGTTGGCCCTTGTGTTTGTCTACTGTCTGTCCGCCCCTTGCTCCGGAGCTCCGCGTCTCCAGGGACTGGTGAACATGCCCGCCAAGTCGCAGAGGCGGGGTGGGGGAGGGTACTGCCGTCTCACCGCGCCCGTCCCCAGTCTTGGCATCTGTGAAGTGGGTCCCCTGGGTTTGGAGTCCTGCACCAGAGCCTCCCGCTGTCCCTGGTGCCCAGTGCTGCTCCTATCCTGATGCCGCGTTCCAGGAAGTGAGGGGTGGCCGGAGACTGACCCAGGTCAAGTTCCTCTGCCTCTGCGAGTTCTTCCCGTGTGGCTGCTGCCTCTGCAAGTTACAGGCTTAGCGGGGTCTCTTCCGAGAAGGGATCCTGGGTGTTAGGGGGGAGCCCGGTGTCCTGAGGAAACAGACGGGAGCTCTAACCCACCCCAGAGCTCCTCGGAGAGCAGTCAGAAGCACACACAAAGTCCCAGGCTCTGCCTGAGGCAGGATCTGTTGTTATCATGTCCATTTCACAGATGGGAAAACTAAGGCTCAGAGACAGCGATTTGCCCCAGGTCGCCCAGAACGGATGGAACGGGACTGAGGTGAGGTTTTGACCTCACCTTGACCTGCCTCCACCTACCCCAGGTGTCCTGTTACTCTGTGCCCACAGACATCTGCTCCTTCCTGGGTACCTATCGCCTGCCCACGTGTGCCAAGCGGGAGCTGGTGGCAGAGGTGTGGCTGCAAGCCCACAGCTGTTCACTCCACAAGTGCTTAGGGCGCCCCCTGGGTCCCACACACTGCACGTGCCTGTGTCCCTCCAGGGGGCCCCACAAGCATACACTCACAGGAGGACCCACGGACACATGTCTGTGCTCACACGTGCATGGACACCTGTGCAGACACACCCAGACACCGTCCACACGTGCTCACGCCCACAGACACAGCACCCTCTAGGACACTGATGTCTAGGCTCCAAGATGACATAAGAGGGACCCGTGCTGTGGGTTAAGCTGCCTCCTGCAAAACCAGCATCCCATGTGAGCGCCGGTTCAAGTCCCGGCTGCTCCAGTTCCCATCCAGCTCCCTGCTAATGTGCCCGGGAAAGCAGTGGAGGATGGCCCAAGGGCTTGGGTCCCTGCACCCATGTGGGAGACCTGGATGGAGCTCTGGGCTTCTGGCTTCAGCCTGGCCCAGCCCTGGTCAATGTGGCCATTTGGGGAGTGAACCAGTGGTTGAAAGATCTCTCTCTCTCTCCCCCCCCCCATAAAATAAATCTTAAAAGAAAAGACACACACAGCACCTATACCCCAGCCACACAGGACCTGGGGTGTCCTCAAGCAGCCCACACCCACCAGCTTTCCTCACCCTTGTCCCTAGTCTTCAAGGGACAGACCTAGCAGGTGTGAGGTGTCCCGCGGTGCGTGTGACTCCCCTTCCTGGCCTGCAGCCCACCCCAGAGCCCCCGACATCTCCGGCCTCACCCTGTAAGAACCCCCTTCTCAAAGAATCCAATCCCCTCCCCCCATCCTCTCCCACAACAGAGAGACACAAGGGCTTTAGAAACCAGACAAGTTTTAAATATATGTTAGCACAATATTAACATTAAATATGCATCATAAATAAGCCGTATAAATATAAAAATGATTCAAAACTGATATAAAAAAATCAATAAATTAGTCGTATCACTCCAGAAATCGGCTCTGGGGCCCCCGCCTGGAGGGCCATAGATTCAGCAGGAAAAAATTCCCCCGAGGCACCACCAGGGGGCGCACCAGCAGCGAGGCCCCCTGAAGACTGGCCGCTTCCCAGCCTCCTGGCCCTTGGTCATTTGCATGTCTGTCCCGATTTACACGGACAATCTGATATCCACTCTGTGTCACCGAGCCCCAGCCGCTGCCAGGCAGAGAGGGCCTTACACGGTCCCCACCCGGCGGGATCTGGGCCCCTCACATCCGTCTAAGACACCTTGCTCCTGTTACAGCTGCCTACAGTGAGGTCACACAGGCGTGCAGGGGTCTGGCCTGAGATACGAGAAGGCATAGGCGGCCCACAGCCCAGGCCCTGACCTCCCGCTGAGAACCAGGCCGGCCCCGTGAAAGGAGGAAGTCCTGGGGGCCTCGGAGAGCAGATCGGGGGACAGTCAGCCCAGCCGTGAGTCAGCCTATGTCATCAGACCCCTGAATCAATGGAAAGTCGGCCCCGCGTGGCCTGACCTGGTCAACCCCACCCCCTCCCCGCGCCAGCCCCGACTGGGGAACTCAGGGCAGGGGGGCCAGCCTGGAGGAGGTAGAAGGGTCTCGCCCAGTTCCACAGCCGCGAAAGTGCACTTCTGAGCCGCAGGGACTCGCATCCCTGGGGCATCGCCCATCACGGCGGCCCCTCTCGGGCTACAGGAGCAGTTTCCCCCTGAGCTTTGGTCTCTTGGTCCTCCTGGAGGGTCGGATGCCAGGGATCTGCTTCGGCAGGTCCTCGGGGGGGCTGTGTGTCGGGCTCGGGTTCAGGCTGTGCGGCCACTCGCTGAAGACCCGGCGCGCGGAGCGCATGAAGCGGTGGTAGCCACACAGGAACCTGCAGTTCTCCTGCTTAGCTTGGAAGACGTGCTGGGAGCGGGTGGGCGGTGGCGGCGGCGGCGGCGGCGGCGGCGGCGGCGAGGGCTCGGAGCCAGACTGGGTGGGCTTGGCCGGCTCCGAGGAGCCCTGAAGCAGCCGGGTCATGCAGTAGAGGTTGCTCCTGAGCCCCAGGAGGTTGTTGGCGGTGGCCTGCAGCTGCTCCAAGTCCGTGGGCGCGAACAGTTCCTTCTTCATGGTCTCCAGTCTGGGCAGGACGTGGTCTATCGTGGCGTTGAGGGTCCACAGGAAACCGCGCCTGCTCAGCCGCTGCAGGGCAGCCTCACTGGGGAAGTCCCTGGGGTGCTCCGTGCAGGGTTCACTCGGCCCCGGCACCTCCAGGCCTTGGTACTGGATCTGGGGGAGGAGGGAACCGGAGAATCGGGGTGAGCGCTGGCACCCCATAACCAGGTCAGCCTTGAAAATGGAGACCTGGGGTTGGCACTGTGGCTCAATTGATTAATCCTCCACCTGCGGGCAGACACCCCATATGGACGCCGGTTCGAGGCCTGGCTGCTCCACTTCCAATCCAGCTCTCTGCTATGGTCTGGGAAAGCAGTGGAAGATGGCCCAAGCCCTTGAGCCCCTGCACCTGTGCGGGAGACCCCAAGGAAGCTCCTGGTTTGGGGTCGGTGCAGCTCTGGCCATTGTGGCCATCTGGGGGGTTAACCAGCAGATGGAAGACCTCTCTCTGTCTCTCTCTGCCTCTCACTGTCTGTAACTCCACCTCTCAAATAAATAAATAAATCTTTTTTTTTTTTTTTTTGACAGGCAGAGTGGACAGTGAGAGAGACAGAGAGAAAGGTCTTCCTTTGCCGTTGGTTCACCCTCCAATGGCCGCCGCGGCCGGCGCGCTGCAGCCGGCGCACTGCGCTGATCCGATGGCAGGAGCCAGGTACTTCTCCTGGTCTCCCATGCGGGTGCAGGGCCCAAGCACTTGGGCCATCCTCCACTGCACTCCCGGGCCACAGCAGAGAGCTGGCCTGGAAGAGGGGCAACTGGGACAGAATCCGGCGCCCCGACCAGGACTAGAACCCGGTGTGCCGGTGCCGCAAGGCGGAGGATTAGCCTAGTGAGCCGCGGCGCCGGCCAATAAACAAATCTTAAAAAGAAAAATGCTAGGCCCGCTCCCCACCCCATTCCTGTGACCCACCCCTGTCCCTACTCCTGTTGGACAGAGTCAGAAAGGTCCTAGAAGGTCATGGTAGGCAGGGCCAAGGGGCCCGAGGGCGCTGGTCGGGGCGGGGCATCGTGCACGTGGTGACTGGGGTCTGGGGACCTCGGTGGAGGCAGGTGTGTGTAGGGGCTGGGCCTGGCCCTCCCAGCAGCTCCCTGATTTGCTGATGTCTGCACACACACACCACGGGGCTGGGAACTCACGTAGGGGATCAGCAGGCTCTCAGGGTTCTGCAGGAGGTCCGCCTGGTTCCGCAGCTGGTCCAGGAGCTCCGGGTACCGGCGCGAGCAGCTGCACCTGGCCGTGGTACTCAGAAGCAAGAGTCCAAGGACCACACCTGGGGAGAGAGGGGAGGCGTCACCTAACTCAGGGCCTCGCAGTGCCCATCCCTGGACCCGCACTGGGGCCTCCCCCACCCTGGTTGCCGCCCCAGTGAGTCACTCGCCAGGACCTGAAACCATGTGGGAGGGGACAGGGCCCTCACCAAGGCGGTCTCTCAGCAGAGGTTGCAGTGCTAAAATCAGGAGCTGGGAGGCAGGCGCTGTGGCATAGCAGCTAAAGCCACTGCCTGCAATGTCGGCATCCCATATGGGCGCCGGTTCGAGTCCCGGCTGCTCCACTTCCAATCCAGCTCTCTGCTATGGCCTAGGGAAGCAGTAGAAGATGGCCCAAGTCCTTGGGCCCCTGCACCCACATGGGAGACCTGGAGGAGACTCCTGGCTCCTGGCTTCACATTGGTTCAGCTCTGGCACTTGTGGTCATCTGGGGAGTGAACCAGCGGATGGAAAACCTCTCTCTCTCTGTAACTCTGCCTCTCAAGTAAAAAAATACATAAGATCAGGAGCTGGCTGAGGGCAGCCTGTGGAGGGGACTGGCTCCCACCAAGACCTCAGCACTAAGTGCTGGCCACTGCCTCAGGACCCTAACTTGTCAGCACCCCCTTAAGAGACCTGGGTCCTGCCCCCCACAGGTAGGCTTGAGAGAGCTGTGGGGCAGGCAGCCTGGGAGGGGCCTGGTGCCTGTGTTCTGTCTGCAGACCCAGGAGGTCAAGTTTGGAAAGGACCTGGCAGGTTGCCCAGGGCACACGCCCCTGTTCCCGACGGTTACAGTGAGGCTCAGCCAGCCGGTGCTCCCCTGACCTCCCACGCCTCCCTCTTCTCTCCAGCAGGGACAGCCACTTCTCTCAGGTCCCCCAGCGATGCTGCGAGCCACTCAGAAGGTCCCAGGGGGCGGGCCCAGTTACGGCTCTCACCGCACCCCCGCCGTGCACCAGCAACCACGTGGTCGGAAGAGGCCTGTGGCGCAATGGGCCGGAAGGCGGTGACACCATCGTCCCCTTCCTACAAACCGTTCAACCCCGTGGGGAAGACAGGCTGCTGGGGAGGGCTGAGGGGCCAGCCACGGGGCACCCTCATTGCTCCGCTGGGGGGCGGGGGGCTGCTGTGTGTGTGTGTGTGTGTATGCACGTGGGAGCAGGCATCTGTAAGGGTGCACCTGCTCTGCTCACCCGGGCCCAGGGTCTCAGCCTGGGCGACCTCAGGGGACTCCATGCACCTGTTACTGTGTGTGTGCTGCCTGACTGTGTGTGCTCGGGACGCTGGCCTGGCTGCCTTCCTGCCCACCCCGACTCTTCAAATCCAGTCGGGAGGAGAAGGAGGCCCCATGGGCCCCTCCACGCCGTGCACCGCTTCCCCACCCCACCGCTCCCAGTTGCCATCTGCCTCTCTCTCCTGCTTCCTTCACTTCCTCGCTCCCAGAGCTGCCTCAACATCTCCTCCAGGAAGCCTTCCAGGGAGAGCCCTTGTCTACCCGTGGGGATGCTGGGTTCCCCGTGGACCCCTCCGTTTGCCTGGCCTCCTAGCTCTCTCCCGGTCTCAGCATCCCTCTGCCTGGTGCCCGGTCTCCCCAGCTCCCGGAGGGGACAGGTGGCCCCGGCTCAGCGAGCCGAGCCGGCGGGAGGAAGTACTCACTGAACAGCGACCTCCATGTGAGCCGTGCCCGCATGCTGGGTGCCCGCGCTCGAGCCCGTGCCCGCCGCGGGTGACGACTCCCGGCTGGGAGCCCTGCGGGCTGGCAGCCACTTTATGCCCGCCGGGGCGATTGGCCAACACCTCGTGAGGTGGGTGGGGAGGGGGTGGGGGGAGGGCAGGCCTTCTGGGAACATGACCCCAAAAACCAAACTTTCCACGGGCGGCCAATGGGCGCTGGGCGCGGTGCTGTGCCCGCTCCTCCTCCTCTTTTCTTCGAATTCGTTCTTCGAGGTCAGCCCCACGCCCAAGGGTGATGCAAACTGCAGCCTCAGCCCTTCTGGGGTGACAGTGGGGAGCAGGGGGTCCCTGCCATCTCGGGGGAGGCCGGGAGCGGTGGGGGGAGGGGCCGGGAGCCGCGTCTCTCTGCAGGCCCCCGGGCCGATGTCCGCTCAGTACCCGGCGGCCTCGCGGTCACGGAGGTTTGGGGCTGAGGGCAGCGAGACATCCTCCTTCTTGGGTGCCTATCCCGCCCCCTTGCTGGGGCAGTTGGGACATCTGTGAGCGGAAACCACTGGGCTCTGGGCACGGAGCCAGACCCAGGCCGAAAGCCCCTGGTGTTGTGGTTCCAGCCCTGGGACCAGCATCACCACAGCCAGGTTCCTGCTGTGTTGCTGTCTCCCTCTCCTCTCCCATGCACCCCTGCTCAGGCCCCTCTCTGCTCACCACGTCCTCTAGTGGGAACAAGAGGCTTGGGTCAAGGGAAACAGGAGGCTGACATGCTGTGTGACCTGAGGCAAAGCAGTTACCCTCTCTGGGCTGCTGTGGAATGAGGGAGAAAAGCCCTGGCCAGCCCACTTCCTAGGGCTGCTGCTATCATGGACATAAAAGGCAAAAGGCCTTTGAAAGGAAAAGGAAAGATGAAACCAATTCCAAGTATTTGCTCTGGGGGGCGGGATGGAGGGGGTGGGTGAGGACATGGGGAAGCGGCGAGCTCTGAGGGGAAGCTGGGGAGGGGAGTCGCCCGCCCGGTGACGGTTGGGGACCAGGTTTCACTTTCTCTGAAAGATAGCGATCGTGGGTTGGTTCTCCGCTTGTCTGAACATCAGAGAGGAAACTTGGAGAAGGCACCTCCCCAGCCAGGTGCCACTGCGCCGTGCTACGAGGCCCGGGGGACAGCAGACAAGGTGCAGGCCATGCCCGGAGGCCTCAGCACGCGCACAGGCCCGGAAGGGGGTCCCTGGCCCGCCCCCTCTGGAGCCAGGCTGGGGTCCCTGGGGCTGCACGGGGAGGCGGGGGTGGCTGGGCTGCTCTGGCCTGCAGAGCCAGAACTGGGAATGGCCAGTTAGCTAGACAGAGGCTGTGCCCACCGCCCTCCACCTCCGCACACACGCCCCCCCGTCTGTGCCAGCCACTCGCAGGTGCATCCAGTCACAGCTGGATGTGACCACACCAGCTCCCTGGTGCTGTCCACTCGCTGGGGGACTCCCCGCTTGGGGCCCAGGACCCACCGTGGCCACGCCCACTCTCATCCGCTAAATTCCTGTGTCTTCGCCTACTCCTGCCCACCGTTCCCTGGGGCCTGTGCCCAGCTGGGATTCTTCTCCATTTCACATCCCTGAGCTCATCTTGCAAGCGCTCCCGGGAGAAAGAGAGGAAACCCGAGTACTGAGAAGTTCAGGGCTGCGGAGCTCCTTGTCCCGTCTCGGGTGTGGCTGGGCTGGCTGCACTTGAACCCAGTGCTCTGCCCTCCCTGCAGTCCCAGGAGGCCACCTTGTGGACAGGTAAGAGAGGGCTTCAAGCCCAGGACTAAGAGCCCTCAATACCCACGTCACCAAAAGCCAGGAGAGCTTGTATATGGCTTTGCTAGGGGACTCTGCACGAGGAGCCGGTTCCCTGGACCCCCCCCCCCAGATACCCAAATCCATGGATGCTCAAGTCTCTTCTGCAAAACAGCATGGTCTTGGGGCTGGCGCTGTGGCATAGCAGGTAAAGCCACCGGCTGCAGTGTCAGCATCCCATATGAGTGGCCGGTTCGAGTCCCAGCTGCTCCTCTTCCCATCCAGCTCTTTGCTATGGCCTGGGAAAGCAGTGGAAGATGGCCCAGGTGCTTGGGCCCCTGCACCCACGTAGGAGACCTGGAAGAAGCTCCTGGCTCCTGGCTTTGGATCAGCGCAACTCCGGCCGTTGTGGCCAGTTGGGGGATGAACCAGCAGATGGAAGACCTCTCTCTGTTTCTCTCTCTCTCTCTCTCTCTGCCTCTCTGTAACTCTGCCTTTCAAAAAATCTTAAAAAAAAAAAAAAAGGCAGTCTTTGCATCAAACTACACATCGCCTCCCCTGTTCTTTAAATCACTTCTAGATTACCCATGATGCCTGACACATTGCAACCGCTGTGTAAATAGCTGTCACGCTGATTGGTTTAGGGGATTATTTCTGAATGTTTTTCGTTCTCGGGTGAATCCGGGAAGGCAGAGCCCTCAGGTGTGGGGAGTGGGGGAGGGGAGGGGCAGTAGTGGTAGCAGGTGCAGCTTAAGCAGCTCAGATTCTATTTCTTCCACCCTGGAGGCTTGGAATCAGATTTGAGCAGAGCGCCGCTGGTGACTGCTGAGCTCCCCCACCCCTGCCCTTTTATTTATTTATTTATTTTAAGATTTATTTATTTGAAAGGCAGAGTTACAGAGAGAGAGAGAGGTCTTCCGTCTGCTGGATGGGTCTCCTGTCGAAGGAGATACGCCGGAGCTGCGCCGATCTGAAGGCAGGAGCCAGGAGCTTCTTCCTGGTCTCCCAGGTAGGTGCAGGGGCCCAAGGGCTTGGGCATCTTCCACTGCTTTCCCAGGCCACAGCAGAGAGCTGGATGGGAAGAGGGGCAGCTGGGACTGGAACCGGTGCCCATATGGGATGCCGGCACTGCAGGTGGCAGCTTTACCTGCCACACCACAGCGCCAGGCCAGAGACCCCGGTCTTTGGTTTGAAGATGGCTCTTTGCCACATCCTCACGTGACTGTCGGTTGATCTATGCATCCAGGTCCTCGTCTGCTCTTCTGAGGCCCCCAGCCAGGTCGGATGGAGCCTCCCCCAATGACCTCCTTCTACCGTAACCATCTCTTTCCAGGGCCCCACGTCCAAATACGGCCACTCTCCGAGATAATGAGGGTGGGGGCTTCCACGTCGGAGCTTGGAGGGGACCCGGTTGGGCTCCTAAGAGCTTGCAAAGGAGGCGTGGTTGGGGGGCGGCAGGGAGAGGGGCTCAGAGCCTGGGAGCTAGGTGGTGCCTGGAAGAGGCCTCGCAGCCGCACCAGCGCGGGTGAGGGAAGGTGCGTCAGCCGCGCTGGTGAGCTCAGCGCCCAGTGACGTCCCTGCCGCCAGCAGGAAAACCTTGCAACACAGCGCAGCCAGTATAAATAGGCTCCCCGACCACAGGCCCCGGGCTGTCCCCTCTGCCCGCCACGTCAGTCAGGTCCGCGTGATTCGGAGAGGAAGAGCGGCCCGGCTCGGTTCCTCAGAATCACTGTTGGCTCGCTTTTCCGGCCCGCCCTCCCACGGTGGGGGCAAGGACAGAACCTGCAGGGGCCTGGGGGTCAGGGTGGGGTGGAGGAGTCCGGGCAGAGCTGGAGGGGGTGGGGAGGAGGTGGCTCGGCAGCTTCCCGGTCAGATGGAGGTAGACTCCAGGCTCTAGACGCAGTCTGCTTGGGAGCCCGCTGTTCTCTGCCCTCTCATACCCCCACCCCCGCCTCAGCCTCAGTTTCCCCTCTGTGACACAATCAACAATAACAACGAAGACAGATAATCCTGTTTAATAAAAATGGACAAAGGAGGGGCCGGCGCTGTGGCTTAGCGGGTAAAGCTGCCATCTGTAGTGCCGGCATCCCATATGGGCACCGGTTCGAGTCCCGGCTGCTCCGCTTCTGATCCAGCTCCCTGCTGTGGCTTGGGAAAGCAGTGGAAGATGCCCAAGTCCTTGGGGCCCTGCATCCATGTGGGAGACCTGGAAGAAGCTCCTGGCTCCCTGGCTTCGGATTGGCGCAGCTCCGGCTGTTGTGGCCGTCTGGGGAGTGAACCAGTGGATGGAAGACATCTCTCTCTCTCTCTTTCTCTCTCTGTGCCTCTCTGTAACTCTGACTTTCAAATAAATAAATAAATTTTTTTTTTTATTTTTGACAGGCAGAGTGGACAGTGAGAGAGAGAGACAGAGAGAGAAAGGTCTTCCCTTGCCGTTGGTTCACCCTCCAATGGCCGCCTCTGCAGCCGGCGCACCGCGCTGATCCGATGGCAGGAGCCAGGAGCCAGGTGCTTCTCCTGGTCTCCCATGGGGTACAGGGCCCAAGCACCTGGGCCATCCTCCACTGCACTCCCGGGCCACAGCAGAGAGCTGGCCTGGAAGAGGGGCAACCGGGACAGAATCCGGCGCCCCGACCGGGACTAGAACCCCGGTGTGCCGGTGCCGCAAGGTGGAGGATTAGCCTAGTGAGCCGCGGCGCCGGCCTAAATAAATAAATTTTTAAAAAACAAAATGGACAAAGGCTTTGAAGAGACACGTCTCCCGGAAAGACAGACAAGCAGCCGACAACCACGTAGAAAGGTGCTCACGTGTTTTTATCCAGCCTGGGGTGGGGGCAGGGGAGGGGAATCCAAACCACGAGCTCCCGCATCACACCGCACACACCATCACACAGTGGGAACCAGTGAGCACGCGCAAGGCTGGAGCCCCGGATGTCAGTGGCAGGGAGGTGCAGTTGGAGCTCCCGGAAGGGTCACAGGTGGAGCAGTCAGGAGCCCGAGGACCCTACTCCCAGACACAGACCCTGGAGATGCCATGTGCACGGAAACCCACACAGGTTCATGAGAGCAACTATTCATGGCAGCCAGCCAGCCAGCCAGCATCGAAAGCGGCCCACGTGGCTGCCAGTGGAAAGTGGACTCACAGTGGGAACGCAGTTTTTCATAAGGTTTTTTTTTTTTTTTTTTGACAGGCAGAGTGGACAGTGAGAGAGAGAGAGAGAGAGAGAGAAAGGTCTTCCTTTTGCCATTGGTTCACCCTCCAATGGCCGCCACAGCCGGCACGCTGCAGCTGGTGCACCG